CTGAACGAGACAAGAGGGCCCACTTTCACCACTGTTTCTCAGCCTTGTACTAGCCAGAACAATTAGCAAGAAAAGTAAAAGGCATCTAAGTGGAAGACAGAACTATCTCTAGTCACGGAATATATGATCCTACATCTAGAAAGTCCCCAAGAACCCACAAAAAAAGCCGTTAGAGCTAATGAATGAATTCAGCAAGTTGGGTGCAAGATCACTCAGCCATCGGTTGTGTTTTTCTATGCCAGCAGCAAACAACCTGAGAGAGAAATGAGGAAAACAGTCCCATTACCTCAGACAACGAAATACCTGGGAATATTCTATCCAGGAGTGTTGGAAGACTTACACAGTGAGCACTAGGAAAGACCCCTGAAAAGAATTAAAGACTTAAATAAATAGAAAGACGTTTGTTCATGGATTGGAAGACTTAATACTGTTAAGATGTCAGATGCTTTAAGCAAGCTACAAATTCAATCTTGAGCAGTGGATTTGTCTATATGACACTAAAAGCATGAGCAACAGAAGAAAAAAATAAATTTGATTTCATCAAGATTAAAAACTTTTGTGTATTAAGATACATTTTTAAGAAAGAGAAAAGATGACTAACAGAATGGGAGAAAATATTTGGAACCAAAATACAAGAGACAGGTTTAATACCCAGAATATATAAAGAACTGCCACTCAGTGTAAAAACCAATATCTCAGTTTAAAAATGGGCAAAGTACTTGAATAGGTATTTCTCCAAAGAAATACATAAATGTCCAATAAACATGAAAGGATTCTTAACATCATTAGTCGTTTCTGTAAAGGGTCATCGAGTCGGTTCCAACTCCTAGCAGCCCTGTGTGCTGGGCAGGAAGGTACTGTGCAGTCCTGCGTCAATCCTCACAGTCGCCACAGTGTTGGAGCCCATTGTAGCAGCCACTGTGTCAGTCCATCTGGTCGAGGGGCTTGCTTTTTTTTGCTTTCCTCTACTTTACCAAGCATGATGTCCCCCTCCAGAGACTGGTCCCTCCTGACGGCATGCCCAAAACACAAAAGGTGCAGTCTCGCCATCCTTGCTTCTTCAGTCTTCTTACCCACTCACACGCATGTAAGGTAATTGAAAGTACCATCACATGGGCACCTTTGTCTTCAAAGTTATTGTTGTTGTTGTTGTTATATGCCGTCGAGTCGGCCCCGACTCATAGCGACCCCTCCTTGGGTTTCCGAGGCAGTATCACTACGGAAGTAGGGAAGTGCAAATCAAAACTCAGAAAGAGATATGACTTCACAACCCACTAGGATGGTGAAGATCAAAATCACGGAGCATAAAACATGTTGGTGAGGAGGAGGGGAAATGGGAACACGAGTCTGTTGCAGTTGAGAATGTAAAATGGTGCGGCCACTGCGGAAAATAGTGTGGTGGTTCCTCAGGAAATTAAACCTGAATTATCATGTGATCCAGCAATTCCAGTTGTAGGTATATATCCAAAAGAATTCAAAGCAAGAATGCAAACAGATACTTGTACGCCAGAGTTCATTGCAGCACTATTCACAATAGCCAAAAGATGGAAACAGCCCAAGCACCCATCAACAGATGATGGGTAAACAAAATGGGTTACATTCATACAGTGGAATATTATTCAACCATAAAGAGAAATGAATTCTGGTACATTCTACAACGTGGATGAACCTTGAAAGCATTGTGCAAAGTTAAAATAACCCAGACTTAGGAGTTCTGATAGTGTGTAATCTATAATAGGCAAGTAAGAGACAGCAGTAGATTGGTGATTGTCAGCGTCTGGGACCGGGGAAATGGGGAGGAACAAAGAGAGTGGAGAAATCATGTTTACACCACAAACATTCAGCCATGTTTTAAGGCATCATGAATCACACTGTACCTTAAAGGCACTTCACCAGCCCCAAAGAAAACCTAAAACCACATCTCAACCAGCTCAAGAAATCTCCTTGTATATTAACTTCACAGCAGAGCAAAAGTCAAGGCAAGTTAATTCCGTCTGCCTAGATGTTATCCACAATAGACAGTTAAATAGTGCCAGATATGTAAAGAACAAGGGGTCACTGCATGGTTTAGAATCAGGAAGGGTGGGCATCAGGGTCATACCCGTTTACCATACTCATTCAATCTGTGCTGAACAAACAATCCAAGAATCTGGACTGTATGAAGAAGAACACAGCATCAAGACTGGAGGAAGACTTATTAACAACCTGTGATATGTGGGTTTTGACAAAGCCTTGCTTATGGAAAGTGAAGAAAACAGGAAGCACTTACTGAAGAAGATCAAAGACTATAGCCTTCAGCAACATAAAGAAAACAAAAATCCTCACAACTGGACCAAGCAGCACCACAGTAAATGGAGAGAAGATTAATGTCAGGGATTTCATTTTACTTGGATCTAGGATCATTGCCCAAGGAGACAGCAGTCAAGAAATCATGATTTGCACTGGGCAAATCTGCTGCAAAATATCTCTTTAAAGTGTTAAAAAGCAAAGATGTCACTTTGAAGACTAAGGGGCACCTAACTCGAGACATGGTATTTTCAGTCGCCTCATATGCATGTGAAAGCTGGCCAGTGGATAAGGAATACTAAAGAGTTGATGCCTTTGAATTTGGTATTGGCAGACAATACTGAAAACACCACGGACTGCCAGAAGAATGAAAAAAATCTGCCCTGGAACAAGTGTAGCTGGAATGCTTCTTAGAAGTGAGAATGGCTGGACTTCGTCTTACCTGCTTAGGTCATGCAGTCAGAAGGGACCAGTCCCTGGAGAAGGATGGCATGTTTAGTAAAGTAGAGGGTCAGGAAAAAGGCGAAGGCCGTCAATGAGATGGATTGCAGTGACCGCGACAGTGGGCTGAACCACAGCAGGGATCGCGAGGCTGGTGCCAGACGGGCAGTGTTTCGCTCCGCTGTACACGGGGTCCCTGTGGGCTGAAGCTGACTCTCCGGCACCTGACAACAGATCTGTGAAGAAGCGAGGAAGCATGTCGTGTAATCAAGGAAAGAAAAATCAGTAGCAGGTATAATAAGATAAGGTGCGGGTTGTGAGTAGAGGTTAGCAGCTGTTAGTAACATGGGCGAGGATACAAGGGAGAATGCGGCTTTAGTGAGTGAACAGAGAGATGGGGATGACTGAACAGACCCAGGTAGAAATTCTAGAACTGAAAACATGCAGCATCTGAAGTAGTGCATGTATGAACGAGCTCAGGGCAACAATGAGACGCCCTGGAAGGGTTGTTGGAATTGAAAACCCACAACAGAGATGCTTCAGTCGGGAAGACAGTGTAGTACAGGCCACACTGTCTCACACATTACTCGAGTCCCAGCCAGAGAGAAAACTCTGTGTGAAAAAGTAACTTGAAGAAATAATGGTCATAACTTTCTCAAATTTGATGAAAAACGATCAGCTGCAGATCCAAGAAGCTCAGTGGACCCAAGCAGGATAAGCACAAAGAATACACCGAAAACGCCATGACGCCGCTGCTGAAATCCCCAAATAGTGGAAACGTGAAAGTAGTCGAAGAAAAGCCACGCTTTCCATGCAGGCAGACACACCATGGAGGGCTTCTGGGTTCTCCCCTGAAACAATGGAGAGCAGAAAATGGTGGAAAACATTTTTATTCTGAAATTTGAAAAAAACACCAGAATTCTACAGCTAGGAAAAGTACCCTTCAAAAGATGAGTGAAATAAAGATGTTTTCAGGTAAAGGAAAGTCAGTGAAGTTCTTGGTACCAGCTGGTCCCCTTCCCCTCCTAGGCCCTCTTCCCTCCTCCCTCCCCCTAGTCCTTCCGTCGTCTTTCTGCATCCATCTCCTCTCCTGCCTCTTGCCTACCCCAGGTGTCGTGGCACAGAGGGTCATGTTTGCTCAGATGGGTATCCCTGTGGCTGGGACTGCATGGCCCGTTTCTACCTTGGGTGAGACCACCCTCAGGGCCTTGCTCTTGTGCACCCAGCAGGTCTGTCCCGTCTGTGCTTGTGTGTTGCCCGTTTCTATCCTTAAACATGCAGCAGGTTTCCAGTGTCCTGGGACTAGCCCAGTTGTTCCTACTCCAATGACCAGGAATGCTTGAAAATGACAGAATGTTCAGCCCAGCAACCATACGTTTCGTATTTATGATACCAGTGTCCTGGGATTTGGTGTGGTGTGGGCCTGTCCTAAGAAGGGTAGACCTGCCAGTAACTCATGGGCTTCATTGAGACGTGTGTCACAATGCATGTCAAAGCTGGGACTACTGTTGTGAGGTGGGAATAAAGGACAAAAGTCAGGAATGGAGCATGAAAGCAGAAATATGACATGCCGGGGCGTGTCTCTGTGGGCCTTACAGTCATTGTTGTCGGGAAGGTGCAACTTGGGATCCCCCTGGCACTAGTGATGTGAGGCATTGGCATTGCTTGTCTGTCCTGGGGCCTCTTCTCTCTTGAGGCAGGTCCACATGTGGCCACTTAGTGTCCTTGAGGAAGCAGCTGCCAGCGTGGGCGCAGAGCAGTGCCCACAGCCCCGCCCCCAGAAGGTGGTGCTCACTGTCTGCAGCTCGCGTGCACTTGCCTTGTCCACACCGTCTGCCACCCTTGTTTCAGCTCCTGCTGCTCGTGGACAGACATTGGCACTCATTCAGTACCCACCACGGGCACGCGCACACTGAGGGGACAGTCTCCAGTATGCAGCAGGTGCCTGTGTCCTTAGGTTGCATAGATCGCAGAAGGGCCCGAGACAGTTGGGTAGAGTTATGTCTGAGCCTGCCGTCGTGGCTGTGCAGCTGCATGCTGGCACATTGAGAGCCCGCGATGTTGCTTTCACTGTCACGGGGGGTGTGTGTGCATGTTGTTTCGGGAGGGCACTGGCCCAGCCCAAGAGGCCCTGCCGCCACCTGAACTGGACCTCAGCCTGGGACCCAGACTGGCTATGTGGCCTTGGAGAGTGACCTTCTCGTCTCCCTGGTGGCGGGATGAGTCCTCACTGAGCTTGTGCTCCTGGGACCTCAGGCACATCTGTGTTGCAGGACGCAGAGGGCTCCACGTGTCTACACCTGGCTGCCAAGAAAGGCCACTATGACGTGGTCCAGTACCTGCTCTCCAATGGACAGATGGACGTGAACTGCCAGGTAAGTTAGCTGCCCTAACTTCTGCTGGCTACACAGAGGCCTTGTCTGTTCTGTCCTCTGGAGGCTTCTGGGCCACTGCGAGAACAGCTCAGCTCCCTGCACAGCCCTTATAACCTAGAAGACCAGGCCAAGCTCCGCCCACAGCAGCCCTGCCTTGCCTCCTAATCACAAGGACACTCGGACACCATCCCGGCTGTGGGATGGGCAGACCAGGACCATTGGTTGGATGTTTTCAATGCCAGGACGTGTGGTCTGACTGCAGGGCCTAGGAGAGGGGTCTGAGTTAACGCCCCTCGGCTGTGTGGGTTGGGCCAGCTCTGGCTCTGCTCAGACCTCAGTGTTTCTGGAGGCTTGCTGGGTCTTAGAGTGCACCTGGGGTGCCCACGGTGCCCTCCTCCCCGGGACAGGCCCACTCTGTGCCTTGTCACTTACTGTTGGGCAGCGCTCTCGTCTCCGGGATGGGTCCACTCTGTGCCTTGTCTTGTTACCCACTGTCGGGTGCCTGCAGTGCCCTCCTCCCCAGGACGGGTCCACCCTGTGCCTTGTCACCCATCATCAGGGGTGCCCGCAGTGCCCTCCTCCCTGGGATGGGTCCCCTCCGTACCTTGTCACCCATCATCAGGGGTGCTTATGGTGCCCTCCTCCCTGGGACGGGTCCACTCTGTGCCTTGCCTTGTCACCCACTGTCGGGGTGCCCGCAGTGCCCTCCTCCCCGGGACGGGTCCGCTCTCTGCCTTGTCACCCAGTGTCGGGGTGCCCGCAGTGCTCTCCTCCCTGGGACGGGTCCCTCCGTACCTTGTCACCCACTGTCGGGAGCTTGTATTAAGAACCATCACGGTCTGTTTCCTTCTTCTGACAGGATGACGGCGGCTGGACGCCCATGATCTGGGCCACTGAGTACAAGCACGTTGATCTTGTGAAGCTGCTGCTCTCCAAGGGGTCTGACATCAACATCCGAGACAACGTGAGTGTCTGCAGCGTGGCAGTGCCATGGTTTCCCAGATATTCTACTCCTGCCTGTGCTGTGCTGGGGACACGGCCCAGGACGCAGAGCAGCATGCCTTCTGAATGATCTTTCTCTGCTCCTGCTGCAGCTCCGACTCCCTGGCTGTGTCGGGTCGAGCCGTCCACACACACGTTTTTCCCTGGTGGTTCTGTGCATGTCAGTCAGTTGCTGGAAGGGAGCTTGGAGGGGAGGGGTGCTGAGGTAGCTGTGTGTGGTTTCTGCAGTAGGAGGTTTCTTTCTCCAAATGTGTGTCTGGACCGAGGTTGGTGCCCTGGCTTTCTTCCCACCTCCCCCTGCCCCTTTTTCACAGTTGGGCCCGTGGAGATGGCTGCAGAGGCATTGCATTCCTGGGACCCAGGAGTGGGGGCCCAGGGCCAGCGATCCGAGGCTGGGGACCCAAGGCTGAGGAGTCAGGACTGGTGACCCTGAGCAGTGACCCAGGGCCAGCGACCCAGAGCTGGGGACCCAGGGGCAGGCACCCAGGGCTGATGACCCAAGGCCAGTAACCTAGGGCGGGGGACCCAGGGCCGGGGACCCAGGGTTGGGAACCCAGGACCGGTGACCCTGGGCGGTGACCCAAGCCAGTGACCCAGGACCAGGGACCCTGGGCGAGGACCCAGGACCGGGGACCCAGGGCGGTGACCCAGGACCGGTGACCCTGGGCGGTGACCCAAGCCAGTGACCCAGGACCAGGGACCCTGGGCGGTGACCCAGGACCGGGGACCCTGGGCCAAGTAACCAGGGTGGTGCTGCCACTTCCAGCCCATGGCTGCTACTTTGGAAGAGAGGTGAAGGGTCGACTAGGTCTTGGTTTGTGAACTATGATTTAAGATCCGGCATTGATGATTAGTCGGGAAGGACAGATTTATGTGTCTGGAGAGCTGGGTTTGGGGCTATGGTGAGGGGCTCCCGAGTCCCCACAGCTTAGGGGACAGTTGGGATTCTTTGGTTATAATCAACAGCAGATAACTGATGACTTTACAACAGAAGGCACTCAGACGGGGTGATGAAGAGAGGGCCAGGAGTGGAGGTGGTCACAGCCATGGCAGCCCTGCAGGAACCCTGGCAAGCAAAGGGCTCTGGGTGTGCCTTTACTGAGACTCCCTAAACCCAGAAATGGGGAGGCAAGAAGCAGAAGGTCTGGCGTACAAGGTGATTCCTGAAAGAGCGCTGTGGACTAATGGCATGGCTGATACCTGAACCAGGGTCCGACAGGAGGAGAATGTGCTGCCTCTCCAAGTCCGCAGGATTCAGAGGGACAGACCTGGAGAGACAGCTCTGGGGAGAATGGAGGGCCGTAGGTAGGTAGGTATGTGGGGACGTAGCCTGTCACTCCTGCTCAGTGTTGGGAACCCCTGCCATAGCTGAAGAGCCCTTCCTCTTGGGCAGTTCTGCCTCCCACCAGGTCCCAAGCATCGGGCCTTGGCTTCCTCAGAGCCGTCCAAGCCGCCTGCCACAGAGCCTCTCCCGGGCTGGCCAGTCCTGGGTTGCAGTGCTCTGCTGTAGCTGCAGACATGTCGACATAACACCACGGCGTCTGTTCCATTGCCCCCCACTCAGAGTCTCAACCAGCGTGAGGACAGTGGAACTGTTTCGAGGGAATCCCTGAGCCTCAGTGGGGAGCTCTTGTGTTAGAATGAAAGGGAAAAGGAGTGAGGTACCGCCCTGTAGCCAGTCTGTCTTTGCTGGGCATGAGTGCGGCATGAGTACAGGCAGAGTCGGGCGCTGTCTGTGTTGCTGACGGTTCCGTCTGCCATTGTGGAAAGTGCCACCTAGAAGCCTGCTGTGGTGGTGAAGGGCATGCAGGGCTGGATTCCGAGCCGTCACTGGACCCTGGTGTGGGACACGTCCTCAGCCCTGCAGAGTGGTTGCCAGGCAGAAGTTCATCCACGACACAGGTTGTTAATGAGTCTTCAATCCTTAGACCACATTCCTCCTTATATAGACCAGCTGCTTGGATTATTCGCTTAGCGCATGGATTGAAAATGTGTGGGGAATGGGTGCAACCCAGATACATACCTTTGGATTTTAAACCACGTGGTATCCCCTCGTTCAGTTTGAACAGCTGCCTCCAGGTCTGTGTACAGGTTCCTCATGAGCATAATGAAGTGTTCTGGAATTTCCATTCTCTTCAATGCTATCCATAATTTGTCACGATCCACACAGTCAAATGCCTTTGCATAGTCCATAAAACATAGGTAAACATCTTTCTGGTATTCTCTGCTTTCAGCCAAGATCCATCTGACACCAGCAGTGATGCTCTTGTTCTGAATCCAGCTTGCATTTCTGGCAGCTCCCTGTCAGTGTACTGTTGCAACCATTTTTGAATTATCTTCAGCAGCGTTTTACTTGCATGTAATACTAAGGACATTATTTCATCATTTCTGCATTCGTGGGTTCACCTTTCTTTGGAATGGGCACAAATACTGGATCTCTTAAATTTGGTTGGCCAGGTAGCTGTCTTCTAAATTGCTTGTATCTGTTTGTTGAAACATCTCTGTTCTGTCAATTGCTGGAGCCTTGTTTTCTGCCAATTCCTTCATTGCAGGTTGGACTTCTTCCTTCAGTAGCATCCATTCTTGATCGTCTGCTACCTCCTGAAATGATTGAACACCAACCAATTTTTTGTGTACAGTGACTGTGTATTCCTTCCGTTTTCTTTTTATGCTTCCTTCATCGTTCAAGGGAGCTCTGGTGGTGTAGTGCTTAAGGCATTTGGCAGCTAAACAAAAGGATGGTGACCCAGATCCACCAGCCACTCCTTGGAAGAAAGATGGGGCGGCCTGCTTCCGTAAAAATTTATAGCCTTGAAAACCCAATGGGGGTTGCCACGAGTTGGAATCGACTCAATGGAAGTGAGTTTGTTTTGTTATGTTTTTTACCATTCAGTATTTTGCCTGTAGAATTATTAAGAATTACTATCCAAGTGACTGGGATCTTAAAAGCCTGCATTTAGATGGCTGCTTGTAAGCTTTTAAGATCCCAGTCGCTACTTAAGGTTTGAATTTTTTCTTCAGTTCTTTCAGCTTGAGGAAGGCCAAGCATGTTTTTTCCTTTTTGGTTTTCTAACCCCAGGTCTTTGCACATTTCATTATAATAGTTTACTTTTTCTTGTCCAGCAGTGTTTTGAAATCTGCTCAGCTCTTTTACTTCATCATTTTGTCTTCTGCATTAGCTCCTCTGTATTTAAGAGGAAGTTTCAGAGTCTCTTCTGACATCCAGTGTGGTCTTCTTTTTTCCTTTTCTTTTTTACATGTCTTTTATGTCATCCCACACCTTCTCTGATCTTTGGTCATTAGTGTTCAGTGCATCAAATCTAGTCTTGGAATGGTCTGTAAATTCAGGTGGGTTACACTCAAGGTCATATTTTGCCTCTCATGGACTTGTTTTACTTTTCTTTTGCATCAGCTTGAATTTGCATGTGAGCAATTGATGGTCTGCTCCACAGATGGCCCCTAGCCTTGTTCTGCTTGGTGGTATTAAGATTCTCCATCATCTCTTTTCTGTGTGTTTCATCCCAGAGTTCCACATGTATAGCTGCCATTTAGGTTGTTGAAAAAGGCATTTGCAATGAACAAGTCACTGGTCTTGTGAAATTCTCTCATGCGTTCTCTAGGTGTCATTTCTGTCACCAAGGCCATACTTCCAACTACTGACCCTTCTTTTTTGTTTCCAAGGTTCACATTCTAATCATTAGTAATTATCGGTGCATCTTGATTACATGTTTGATCAGTCTCAGACCTCGGTGTTTGAGAAAATCTTCAGTGTCTCACTGACAGTGTTGTGCTTTAGGATAGATCTTGAAATGTTCTTTTGACCATGAATGCAATGCCATTCCTGTTCACTTTGTCATTCCTGGCATAATAGATTATGTGATTGTCTGATTTAAAATGGCCAACACCAGTCCATTTTAGCTCACTCTAGTGCCTCGGAGCTCTGGTAGCATAGTGGCTAAAGCACTTGATTGCTAACCAGAAGGCTGGCGCTTCAAACCCACCAGCCACTCCTCGGAAGGAAGGTTGGGCAATCCTACTTCCATAGTGATAGTGCCTCGGAAACTCAAGGAGGGGTCGCTATGAGTCGGGGCCGACTTGACGGCACATAACAACAACAACAGCAAGTGCCTAGGATAGGAGCTCTGGTGGTGTAGTGCCTAAGACATGTGACTGCTAACCAGAAGTCTGGCGTTTCAAACCCACCAGCCACTCCTCAAAAGGAAGGTTAGGCAATCTACTTCCATAGTGATACCGCCTCAGAAACCCAAGGAGGGGTCGCTATGAGTTGGATCCAACTCGACAGGATTGAGTTTGGTGTTGAGTTTTAGTGTCTAGGATATTGATCTTTATGCATTCCATTTCATTTTTAACAACTGCCAATTTTCCTAGGTTCGTACTTCATACATTCCACTTTCCATTTATTGAAGGAGGTTTGCATCTGTTTCTTCTCATTTTGAGTTGTGGTGGGACTCAAAGTGAGTTCCGGTAGTCCCCGATGTTCTGATGACTCCATCATAAGACAGTTTTGATGTAAGTTGAGTATGTTGTGCTTTGGGTTTTTTTTGTTTTGTTTTGTTTGTTTATTTATAATTTTCTCCCCGAGTTTAGAACAGTCCATTCTGTCTTAGAACTGTCTTGATTTCCTCACCATTTAGAAGTTCTGTAACTGCACAGTATTTTCCCTCTTTTTGGTTTGTAGGTGTCCTCGTTTGTCAATTGATGTCTCTGGTTCCTTGTATACAATCTTGTAAGTTTATTTGGGATATGTCCATAGCTGTAGTTTCTGGGTTATGTCATCTTGTGTATTAATGGTCAGTTGTTGTTTGCTAT